TGTGTCACAGCACCTGCACTAGGCTAATGTGGCCTGCTAGCCTGGTCTGTCACCAGTAACCCTTATCCTTACCCTGGGATGTGTGGCTGCTCTGTGCTGCTTCTCTGCCAGTCTGGAGCAGATGGCTGTAAGCAGCTTGATCATCTGACAGTGGCTAATACTCCTCTGAATGTGACAGCATGAGGACCTCAGCACTGCAGAAGTGGAAGAATCTTCCACTGTTTTGCAGCCTATGAACAGAGCCTGAGACATGTGAATTGTGACCTCCTTGGGATGAAGTTACAGCAGTTGGAGAGATTTGCAGGAATGATCTTGAGCGGGCATCAACAGTTAATTTTTGGCCAGGATGTGGCTGATAGATCAGTCCTGACTAGACTGGAGTAAAGAGTAAACTACTGGTCATGAGTATCACAGTAGCTGCAGTATCAGCTGGAGCTGGGTCATCTTGGGTGTCCTGTGATGTAAAGCTGTAAGCGTTTCTAGTTCAAATCCCAGCAGCTGAATGGGTTTCCTTAAATGTTCCATTTCCAGTATAATAGTTGTCCTGACATTTCACTTACTACCAAGCTTAATTTTCTCAGAAGGAGAGCAGTACTTCAGGCAAAACAAATCTTTGAGAGCTGCTCAGGAGGCTGTGTTTGGTCTGTGTCCCTGTAGAATTCCTAAGGATGAAGCCTTTGGTTCTCTCTTTATAACACAGATTTAGCATATGTGTAAGTAAATCCCAGTTGTAAACGTGACAACTGAAATTCTTCTGAGTTATGCTGGCTCTTCTGTTGTTTTGATCTAAGGCCTTGAGACAAATGTCTAAATCTTGTCCAAGTCAGAAGCAATGACTTTGAGTCATGATGTGGACAGCAGAATGCCTTGTAGTGGCCCAGGGATGCGTTCTGTCCCCAAAAAGCTTGTGAGGGACTCTTGCTGGTAGAGCAATTCTGCTGGACTCAGGGGCATTACCTGTGGAGTCTCCTCTGAGAATGACCAAAACCACATGAATTGCTCACTAGCTGGTGGCCAGACTAGTCATTATTCAAAGCACTTAATGTACTATAATGTATGCATTTCTATTCTAACTTGGTTCAGCTGTATTTTATAAAATTGATGTACTAAACTATTTGAGAATAATTGCCTTGACTACTTGGAGAAGCAAAATGTAATGTATATAGATACAAATAAAGTAACTAAAATATACTTGAGTCTGTTCCATGGGTGGAGCAGTTGGGTCTCGTTGCACCCCATTTTCTTGATCAGAGGCAAGGCCACTGCTCACTGTGCAGGGGCTGCTGTGCTGCAGAGTTCCAGCTTTGTGTGCAGGGTAAGATGGTCCTGTCTCTGTACCTGGCAGCTCTTCTCCTCTGATGGAGTAGCCCCTCTGGGCAGCTCCCAAGGGCACTGGCAGTAGAATGTGCAAATACCCTTTTACACAGTTCTGTCTTCTCCGCAGCTGCTTTTCAGCACGGTGCTGAGACAGGGATCCAGTTTTGTCCAGCAGGTGGTTGTGTGCCTTTGCCCAGTTCTGCCATGAAGTAGAACACATTCCAGGTATTTCCATAATCTTAAATAGACTAGATAAAGAAAAAAATCCAAGAAGGTCTGAAAATAAATGTCTTGTCTTGATCGTTTCACGTTAATCTGGTATACAGTAACCTCCTTGCTAAAGCTCAAAATAATTTGTGATTAGTTCTGGGAAGGGGACTTGTTCATTCCTAGGATATAAAACCCTATCTAAAACTTAAGGACCTGTATTATGTGCAATCACCATTTTTTGCCAGGTGAGTGAGTTCTTTCATCTACTGCAGTATGAAACTGCATCAGAACCTGCCCACCATGGGGCTATGAACAGGGAAAAGATGGGATACTCAATTCAGGGGTAGTGCTGCCTTCTGCTGGTGTAAAGATGAGTGGTGGGACTTGAGGGGCTTTTGGCATGAGGTTGAGAAGCACAAATACAGCATTCATTCAAGAAATAATGATCTGGTGACCAAAGGTAGGATAATAAAGTAAGTGAACACAATTACCAAAGAGAGCATTGAATTATAGTTGAAGAGATAGGATGGGAATACTTTCTTTCTCTATTATTTACGTAGGGTATTTTTCTCATATAGCTTCAGCAAACATGAAACACTCTGGTTGTGGAAAAATGAAGTATCCTGGGTACAGGCTTCTGTTACTGGACTAGCTGAAATCTTGTGTCATAACTAAAAGAACAAAAGATATATCAAAAGTGTTATATCTAGATCAGCACAACTGGGATTGCTTAATGTACACATATGCACATAACAAGAGAAAGAAAATGTTTTCTTTTTCTGATAGGATTATAAATATTATTTAAAATAAATACTATAGGGAGAAACCATTTTCTGGAAGCAGGTCAGGTCAGCTATATGAATTTCTAGTTGATCTGTAATTAATTCTGACTGAAGGTGTATTCTTGTTAATGTGTCTGTTAAGGTAGAAAAAGAATAAGGTAGTTTTATGTGATCCCATAGCAGCCTATAACATGCAGAAATTATATCTTCATGTTAATTTGAACTGCTTTATGGAAAAACAATATTCTGCTTTTTGTCTACTAAGCCTTAAAAAGCAGAACATCTTCGGGCTGTATTTCCCATGCCAGCTCAGTTGTACAGTAAGAATTCACCAAAACCAACATGTTTTTACAACCCAACCCTTACTTAATTCAGCTCTTGAATGTTTTCTTAAAACTCTGACATTTAAGTAGTCATTTTCTTAGAGAAAGTGTTGGCTTCTGCAGAATACACACCAAATTTTAACCAATATGGCTTTTGTGGTCTTAGTCAAGAAATAGTCTGCAGAATACAGCGGTCATATACGTTAATTTGGGAAACACTTTTTTGCTCAAGTAATTAATATCTGTTGGCAGCTAGAGAAGTTTATTAGATCCTAGAAAGTTGGCAGTACAAGGAGGAGTCTGTTCAGTGTTTGGGACAAGTACTTCATATCATGTTGATGATTTACCTTTATGTTTATTATTAAAAATGTGGCTTTACATATATGGGGATATAAAATTAGTATTGAATTCTGTCATAGACAGAAGACCAAGGCTGAATGTATTTGGGATTGGAACGTCACCATTTTCAGATGCCAAATTTCAGTAAATGGAGTAAGTTCTTGTCCATTCCTGTTGAAAACTTTAAATAGCAGAACATTTTAAGTCTTCTTATATACTCATAAAATAGACTGAACATCCACAACTAATTAAATTTGAAGTATGCCCATGAGTGGAAAAAGATCAAACCCGCCAGGTTTGGTCAAAACATGATTTTTCCAACTGCAGACCATATAAACCCAGGAAACTTTTGCTATATTCTCTCTATTCTGTTTTTATGCCTTTCAGCAGCAGTAGAAACTAAATGAGCCAAATGTCTTTTGAGAAATTGGTTGCTTTAGATAAGGCATGCTAGCTTATCACTTCAGTGACACTAAACAGCCACAGAAATCCTTGTTTTAATTAAAACAAGATTGAAATTCTAATAGCTTTTTAATTTCTCTCTGGAATTCTATGACAAACAGCAGAGCATGAGGTTGGTCTTTACCTTTTCCTTCTTGTGTAACTACACATGCATAAAGGAAGGGCAACACATAATAAAACACAAAATATATGTATGCTGTACAATATATGGAGTAGTAGATGTAGAATGCTAGTGGCAATGCTGATGCCTCCATGATCCTACAGGAGAAAACTGAAGGACTTAGAATACAAACATCTTGAAGTAACTAAATAGTGCTGCTCCACTGGTCTTAAATAACCAGTTTAAACCCTTCATTAGTAAAAATTAGGTCATGTAACTGTGAATTTGTCCTTAGGAAAGGCTGGAGATAGAGCTGTTTTATATAAAAGGTTGAATTTATTTATTTGTATGGCTAGAAATAAAGGCAAGTTTTTATCACCCATTCCATTTTCCCCAGAGCCTGCTCACTGAAAACTCAGAGAGGGTAGCATGCAAAAAATCCATGAAAACTTGGAAAATCTTAGAAACCTCCATCTAGTTTTCTTTTTGTTTGGAAGATTTTCTCCCACCCCTACATATCCATTTGGTCCCTTAGAAATTTAAAAATCTGGATGTAAAGAGAATGTCTTGATACAGAATTATATATTCAAAATGAACTTTATTGGTATTTAAACCAAATTCTCTTCTCCACAGCCTAAATATGTTTCAAAACTTTTCCTAGACCTCATTTCTCCAAGAAGAGCATAGAAGGTGGGAACTGCAGTTACAGTGATATGCAAAAACCAAACAATACAATTTGTTTTGAAATTTTAGTTTTTTTGACTGTGATTGAGTTTGAAGATAAATTTGGATGTAGGAAGGTCTACTTTACTAAAAAATAGATGCAATAGTCTCTTTGTTCTTAGAATAATATGCTGCAAAAATGACAAATCAATAGAGGCAACCCTTAAAATAGGGGAAAAAACAGTTGAATGTGTCAGTTACTTGTATCTCCACTTTTTGCTGCCAACTTTATGAAATAAGTTACTTGTCAATAACAATGTATTTACAAATTTGTAATACACATAATTCACTGACTAGTCATGCTAGGTCTAAATACATAGAGAGCAGGGAGGAAATTCTATCTGTCATGTGCTAGGGAGCATTTAATTGAGATCATGAAACAGTTGTTTGCAGATATTTTGTCATCTTCTGTAATTTTTCTTGTCTATGGAGAAGCGCTGAAAAAATATTGCTCTTTAGAGTAGGAATTCTAGTAAGAAGGATGAGGAGACACATTACAATGTACAGTGTTCATTACTAAATTAAAGAAGGCACTTGCTCTCCTGCTTGCCTGAAGATTACATAAAAACAAACAAAAAAACCCACCTAAAAACACATCTGCAGAGAAAGGGACAGTGGTAATGCCAAAAGAGGTTAAATATGTCCACAGAATACATTCATATTTAAAAAGACAATGATCAAAGTGATGATCTAATGACTTAACCAGATGCTTCTATTGCATAATTTAAACTTTGAAAGTCAACACCACATTTTAATTACTTTATTTTTTCTTTCTTACTTAAAAAAAGAATAAACACAATCCTAAAACCAAAGCTAGCAACTAAAGAAGCTCTTCAAAGCTCTGTTCATCCAGGCAGCATCGCCACTGCCACAACAGAGTAATCCACTCGAGGGCAAGGGCAATTTAATTCAGTAAACATATCCTCCTACCAGTCCTTGATTTTAGCTCTTAATTGACTAGACAATAATGCAACCCCAAAGCAGAATAATCATCAGGTACAACTGTTTGTCTTTCAAATAGACAATCCATCATTATGTTCTGCATTGCAGAGTGGTTTGAGTGCATATTCAGCCACAGGCTGAGTGCCACATTCAAAAAGCATTTCAGAAGAGACAGAAAAAAATATAAGGAACTAGTAAATGGGTAGGCAAAAGTGAGAGTCCACATTTCTGGTCAACTCCAGTGTTTGGCCAGGAAGAAGGTAGCTGGTACATCAGAAGAGGGTCCTGCAGAAACATTGACTCCACCAAAACCAAAATGTTTTCATCTCCCCACCGTTTAACAGAACTCATACAGTTGTGTATGCCTGTGAACTCAACTTGTTTTCATGTGTCTTGTCCTGTCATCAGTGTAACCTTATATTTTCCTTGTGGCGTCTTCTATCTTCACAGCTTCAGAATATTTTGAATTGTATCTACCTTCAGTACCAGTTAAAGTTCATCCTAGTGACAAGAAAATAAACAATAGAGTTTCTCTGAAAGTACAAACAAATTTTTTTTTCACATGATTTAAAAATTTTCAGTTGCACTAATTTTTCAATTGGACAAACATTTCTTAAGTAGCATTCAGGATAGTTAGTAGCTGTGTGTTAGTATCCTAAGTTTACCAGTCTTGTCTCTGTCATTTGCATTTAGTACTATGGATAATGAGCAAATACTAAAATAATTTTAAACAGTTATTATTTATAGCAAGTCTTTTCTGAAAGGCTCCACAGTAAGTGTTCTTACCTTATTTCTGGATTTTTTTCTTTTTCCTTTGTTTTCCATTGCTTCTAGTTTTTCATTCAAAAGGTCAGCTATACCTTTTGCATCTCTGCTGTCTATGTATTCACCAAGAACATTTTTCTTAAAAAGAAACAAAAAAACAGAGCATGGGTAAAATGTTACACAATTTTCAAACAAAATTCAAGAGGAAAGCAGGGCAGAATACAATGGCCAGGTAGCTTGATTTATGATTCATGGATATATTTTTGTCTCTGTTTAAACAGTGCTAATTTGCATTCTACTGAGAACCACTCTTAGCTGCTAGTTTTCAAAACCACACTCATTTTGTCCTGATCATTAAAGAAACCTGACACAGTTTCAATTTGCTCACATTCATTGAGGTAAGTATTTAAGGTAGACAGCTATTACCCAGTATGCCACTTTGTAATTTATATGAAATCTGTCACTGTGGGTGGCTACTCTGAAGAACTGGAAAGCCTCTACTCTTTACTACAGAAAATCTCATGGAATTTGGTGGGATTGTGCGAAGAAAGATTTCTACAACTTCCCATTAAAAAATTCAGTTAAAAAAAGAAAAGTAAGTTAAGCCAATTCTCTATCAGAAATCATTGAATACTTTCTCTTCAGCATTAATACATCTAAAAAGGTCACTATAATATTTCTGAAATATATTAATGTTACAAGAATAAAGGGAATTCCCTATAACTAGCTAATTACAATTTCTACTATTACTCTTTTAGTAGGAAATGTTGATCTGAAAGAGTCCCCCTTGATAATTGAAATAGTTTGATAAGGCTTGGTTTTGAGACAACAAAACCATATCTTTTTCAGTATCTATCTTAAAATACATGATGTAAGTCAAAATTGGTCTTTCAATATAATAACAACATTTAATTATATTGTCATTAGCCAAAATAAAGTTGTCCGCATTTCTTTAAGAGAGACACCATCTACTTTTGTATATGTGATGGAACTGGTAAAAGTTGAAAAACATTTTGTCACCCAAGACCTTGCAAATTAAACCCGAGTTCTGGTCAAGCCCTCATTTTAATTACTATTAGAATTCTATTTAGTTACTATTTAGTTCTATTAATTTGAACTTTATTATTATTGTATCATGGTCCTACTATTTTAGGTATTACTGAAACTGATTATTTGGAGATAGAGTAATAGATAAATAATTCACTTTAATATGTTATTAGAAGTATTCTGTTTTTTTTAATGTGAAATGAAATACATTACTAACAGTATCTGCTCACCAGTAACACTTTACCTTTGTTCCTTGGTAGGGGTAGAACTTAACAGTAGGATAGGCTCTGATATCAGCAGTCTGACAGGTCTGACCATATGCCTGACAGTCTACTTTTCCAGCTTTCACTTTTCCTTTAATGGCCTGAAAAGAAATGTTTATTAGAAACAAACTACAAGTTTCCATGGGTGGGTATAAGCAAATAAGCGGAATAAGCCAGCAGTACAGCTAAAAATAAAAAAAGTGTTGCTCAAATCTTTGAAATATTTCAGAGTAGCTGCTTGCTTGCTTCTCAGACTGTCAGCCTTGTGTCAGGTGTATCTCTGTGTGTTCAGAGAGCACTTGGACTCGAATTCTGGGCAAAGCACCAAAGCACACCGCAGGCCCCTCCATCAAAAGTTGAAATCTGTCTCAAAAGAGGGTCTCTCTGTGTGTCTGTCTGTGGAAGAGACAACACCCACTGTCTAGTGGGACCTAGAAATGTGTGCATCATTCCATGAGTAGGAGGCTCATGGAAATATTGTGGTTTTTGGATGACTGCTAAGAAATAAAGTGCTGATGAGTAAGATTTTTAACTATTACAATTCTAACAAGCCACCAGTGCATTTAAAAACATACCCTTGCAAGCATCTCAAATTCAGGAGCAAAATTTTGACAAGGTCCACACCAAGGAGCATAAAAATCAATGACCCAATGATCTTTCCCATTCAGAACTTTTTCTGTGAAACTCTGAGGGGTGAGGTCTACAGATACCTGTGGTAAATACCTGTGTAAAGGAAGAGTAACAGTCGTAAGACATTCAAAACTTTAAACAATATCCAAATTCCATTTAAGAAAAGCTTCTGAAATTAAGAATATGAGTAGTCTGCAAATCCCTATTTCACACTTTGTACTATAGGAGAATAACTTCTTTAACATGATAAACAAAATAATACAGCCTTCAGGAGATGGGTGGACAGCAAGGAGTATGCTATTTCTCTAAATTTTAAAAGTTTTAAGTTAAAAGATGGAGAATCTTGAACATCTAAAATTAAGCAATACATATACCCAAGTGCTTCCAGATCTTGATTTATATAGTATTTAAATATTTATTTATGTAGCAAGCAGCTACATAAAGCAGCTCATGAACAAAGTTTAATGCAGTAACTTACCCCAATGCCCAGCCTCTGAGTGAATAGGCATCTCTGTGCCATCCATTGTAGCTACTATAAAAATATTAAAGAGAAAAAGCCACTTGCACAGTATTTTGAATTATTTTGGAAAAAAACCTTACAAACAACCCACTCTGAAGAGTGGTGATAATGAAAGAATGTAAATGCATATGGTTTAGGATATTTCTACCTTGCTTTCAAATCTGAATAAATGAAAAGTCTCATAAATACAATTAAAACTTACAAAATTAAGGACTAGAAGACTAAGACAAGAAAGATAAGAAATAAAAATTAAGATTCTTGTGTTATTTCAAATCACTGAAATGCAACGGCAAAATAAAATCCCTAGTTTGAAGTAACAAAGCCAATAGTATCCAGTACAGTAATATCCTAACAGCCTATTCTAACGGCTGTGATAACCTCTTCTACACAACAGAAAAGGTGTATTTGTCTTGTTTCACATCATGGAATGTTTCCCAAACTGAAGCAATGTACTTACTAATATTGATGAGCCGTGTTTGATTTTTGAGGAAAGAGTCTGATTTCAGGATAGCCCCGAACACTTTCTTGGTGACAGAAAGAATGATACTTTTGACAATCCACACTGCCTACATTGATTAATCCATTTAACATCTGAAAAAGAAAGAAGAAAACCTACCATCAAATATGTTAACCAATACTATTACAATTTCAGTAATACTTCAGAATTTAAGTCTTAATAACTGAGTTGGGGGAAAAAAAATCTCAGCAAAACAGACCAAGATTCTCACAAGGCTTTCCTCTTCCCTGTAAATGGATCTGATACCAGAGCTAGCCACCTCGGTGCATTCCCATCATGCACACATTTAATATAAGCTGCGAGCACATGGCTCACAAGGCACCTACCTTACCTCAAAGGCACCCATGGGTGGGGTTTTTGAGTGTAAGGAATGCCCTGTTCCTGTGTGCCCCATGAGAGCTCAGTAACTATGGCAGATCCTGGGGCAGTGCAGATATGCTAGCTGTGTCACAGTGGGCCTTTGTCCTGAACACACTCTACTTGCTGCAAAGGCCCAAACTACCCAGCATGGATGGGCAGGGGAGCTTATGATTCCTGAATGTGTCCTATAGAGCTACCAACACTTCACAGACATTCCAACAGAATAGCAAATCCTGGCTACAGCTCCTAGTCGAGTTCTAAATGTCTCAAAGTCACAGGCTTGTTTCCAAAGCCCCTTTTTTCCCCCCCCGTCCAAATCTTCTAGTTCAAGTTCCTGGAAAAATCCCCAGGAATGTTGAAATATTACTTTTGCAAATGAGAGAACACTGTAATGACCTTACACACTTGTAACCAACATGAAAAACTGAACTACAGTATCAGTGTACTGAAGCTTTTAAAAAGCCAAATAAAAACATTGTATTTGAAAAAATACAAAACTGTCAGGTAGGAATTGGCTGTTGTGGTGGCAGTATTAGACTCTAAATTTTCTCAGCTGCCAATTCTCTTAAGAAAGCAGTTGTGCCATCTCAGCAATTTCCCAGAATAGGAACAAAAGCAGAGAAGTGTTTGAATGTCATTTACCCTGGCCATCTTTTTCCATTCTGGCATTAAAGCCTGACAAGGTCCACACCATGGAGCATAGAAATCCACCATCCAGATCTCCTCTCGTTTTCTTCTCTGAACTAATTCAGCAAATGTCTCTGGTGTTAGGGAGACCACCGATGGATTCCTAAGATCCTAAATAAAGAGAGTTTATAGACACAACTTATTGTTGCACAGTGTATCCCCTACCTAGGGCCATCATGTACAAACAAACTGCACCAAATTCCAAGAATGTTCTGAGAAATTTGCATGCTGCTCTGGTAGGGAAGACTCCACACCACTGAAAGGCATGGAAGCATCAAAAGACATTCCTTCAACTCAAAAATCATATGCCTAATTTGTTGAGAAAAACTACCAAAAAAGTATACCCAGGCTCCAAAAGGGAGGTTTTCTGCCTTTTCTCAATAAAAGGAGATAAAAACAAGAAATCCAGTTTACCTGGCAGAAACAGGTGGTTTGAAACTCAGCCATGCTATTTAAGCTGGAATGCAGAAGAATACATATAGTGCACTATGGGCCTCTGAATGCTGAAAGACTAATCTCCACCTGTTTCTGCACGTGTGTTCTTGAAGCTGCTTTTTCTGAGCTACCTGGAGAGAACTGTCTCTTCAAAAAGGGAAAAACAGCTTGAGGATGTAGCAGCGAACCTGAATGCTGGAGCCAAGTTGGGTGCCAGAACAGTAACATCAACAGTGACCAATACCAGTAATTTTCAGTTCTGTGAGTAAAGAAAATTCAAAGACAGCTGAGAAATGTGGGCAGCAGCAATCTAATTGACAAAAATGTGAACCCTCTCCTTTATCAAGGTGTGTATGTGAAGCATTTCCACCTTAAAAGTAGGAAGTGATGTAATATTAATTCCTTTATCCTCTCCATAAGACAGAAATCGTTACTATTATTTTGCAGATTGGAAGGGATCTTTCTTTATTTGCTAATGATCTCGAAGAAATTATGTGACGGAGTAGGGAAATTAATCCATTAGTTGTTAAGTCTCTGACTGACAGTTGCTGGATCACTTTTCTTGCCCAAAGTTTTTTCACCTTTTATTTTCCTTGTCTAATTATATATATTATATATATTATATAATTTCCTTGTCTATTATTATAAAAAAAATAATAAAAAAATCAGAATCTTCCAACTAAAGAACATATTTGTGTATGAACTGCATCGAACAAGACTGCAACAAACATTATTTACATACCTCTATAAACTCCAAGATCTGCTCAGCAGAGTGATGTCCTTCATACTCATGAACATCAGACTGATTGAACACAACTGTTGTCGGGTAAGCTCGAATATTATGCTGATAAAACAGACAATAACAAATTGCATGGAATGATTAAGGCTCTTGGACTTGCCAGTAACTGTCATTGGTATTGGTGGCTCAAGCTGCTCATCTGTTCAGTTTGTACAGTACAAGTGCAGAGATGATGTAGTGTGTTCTCAATTTAAAAACCAGCCAGTAATTCTTCTGCCATGCTCCACAAATACAGGAATTAATCCACAGGCCTCCTAAGCCTTAGCTTTAAAACTATTCCCAGTCCTCAGATGGAATGTTTGTATTCTATGAATAACTATTGTTTACCATTGAATACAATTGGTTTCCGTCATTTGAATTCCTCGGTAAACACATCTAAATAAAACTTGAAAAAGTTTGTCCTTTTTTGCTCATTTTTCCATGTGTTTCCAGATATTAACCCCAGCCTCCCAGAACTATTAAATTCTGAGACTTCTTAAGTCTTCCAGTAACACTATGAAATTAGAATAAAATCTGACATGTATTCTACATTAATGTGCAATATGCAATATCTGTAGTGGTTATATAGTTTGCTTCTTTGAAAAAAGACATTATGATACAGGTGTCTGTTCAACTCATTGCCCTTTAAGAAAGTAACATTAAAGAATAAGCATTGTCTGTCCATATCCTCCTACCCCCAATTCAAATAAAAAAATATTATTTGAACGGATTATATTTTTATTTCTTTATTTTTAGTTCCTGCAGCTTACCATGTTGCAGAGGCCTTCATGGACAGTGCAGTCTAGTGTTCCAAATTTAAGCTGACCATAAAGATGTTTAGATGCTTTTCTTAGCTCTGGTAACAAAGCTCGACAAGGAGGACACCACTAGAAGACAAAACACAAGTAAGGACAATTGCTTTTCCCACAGGTAGCTCTCAGGAGAATATTTGAGGTTAATAATCTGCTGCTTTGACAAGAGTCCACTAAATACAAAACCCAGTTAGGAACTAGAGCTGACAGGGAATGAGGAATTATAGAACACCCTCTCATGATGCTAAAGGGCACTTTCAAGATACTCCTTAGTACCTTGTTATATAGCTACAGAACACATTTAGAAGAAGGAAAATGTATAGATATTAAAAATGTACCGGTGCAAAGAAATCCACAAGCCATGGTTCCTTATCTTTGTCAGGAAAATTCTGAGGTCCCAGTGTGATGACATGAGAGTTCACACTTTCTTTGGCAAATGCAACAATGTCATATAAGATCTTCTTTCCTTCAAAGAATAATGTAGAAAGTAAATTCAATTTATACCTATAAGAGGTATAATTAAAAAACTTTTTGAAAGCAATAAGAGTCTTTCAGATCCCTAGTCGAATCTTTAAACACAGCCTGCTTAAATTTAGCAGGGGCTGACTTGCTTTTCTTTAGCGGGACAATGTTGAACTGTCCAAACCTACCCAGGCAGGACATGCTGTAGTTGATAGTTGATATGTGGCTAAATATTAAACTGGACAGTTACCCAATATTAGCCAAATAAATGCTTCATCCAAGACAAAACGACTAAATTTTTTGTGACAGAACTATTGGTCATTTTACCATCTTACTTGTGCTGGAATTAAAAAGTACAATTCTAGATACGCTTGACTTATCAAAGGGATTGACAAGGTAAAAAACTTCAAGCAAAATAAATTATATTGATAAATCACAGCTATTTATGTGTAACTAAATTCCTGCTCACACAGCTCCAATGGACAAAGATCCAGTCTCTTCATACCCTTAGTATATATATTTATCAGCAGAAATGAGAGTTTGTCTGAGAATAAAAACTTCAGGTTAATCAAATCTGAAGTCACTGCACAATGACTTGGCAAGATTTATTCCTGTTCTTAGATTTTAAACTGTTGAAGCCCTTCAACACAGCATATAAAAAAGCATGATTCTTTTAAGGATAATTTTCCAATAAAGACTGGAGTGAGATGGCTATAGGTAAAATGTTCTATATGCCATCTCTTTTCTAAATAGTAAACCAACCATTCAGAAAAAGACCCCTGTATGCACTGTACTCCAATATAATTCTCTTCCACAGTAATCCACACCATTATAAAAATGCTGTATGGATGTGATCTCTTCTTGCCTTCTCTGAAGCAATGTATATTACAGGAAGTATATAAGGCTTTTCCTTATATACCAATCATTAGATACATGGGATCATCTCTCCCCCTCGATAAGCCTAGTCTTTTTTAAAAGAGTGAAATACTTCACTTTTCCTGTTTATGAGCTTCTGACTTAATCCTAGCAGGCTGTTTCTAATACCTCAAAGGCTGAAAAATGAGAACTTCATCTTGCATAACTGCCACATTCTGGATGAAGCTACACCTGTTCCTGCAAGCTACAGTTTGGCTTCAGGCTCCCTTCCTCTTCAATCAGCATTTTTGAATCCTTTCAGCAGTGAATAGTGACACAGTTCCAGCCTTTCCTGAAGGGAAACTGCCATGTTGAAAATGAAAGTAAGTGGTGAAAGTCTCAATATTTTGGACAGAAGTTAACAAAGCACAGAATTAGTTTTAGTGCAGTGATACATGAAACCAAAGCCAAGTCTGCCAAACTGGCTGCACTGTGTAACTAGCATGTTTAGCCTCTCTGAAGAGAATGTCTTACAGCATCCTTTGGTTATCCTACTCAAAGCAGAAGCTGTCCTGATCAGCTTCAGAGACTTCATTTGTATGTAATCATGTAAACAATGCTGAAACAGACTACAAAGACAAAACACACCCCTTGCCATCTGATGAGTGCTTACGCAAGAAAAATAGAAAAAGGAAAACCAAAGGAAACGATAAATAGTTTATGTAAAGCTACATTATGGTCAGCGAAAAGATAGCAAATATTAAAGCTACAAAACTGTTCTTTGGGAAAACAACTGCAGTTTGCCAAAGATTTTGTCACCTCAAAGAGATTAGGTCATGATTTAAACTTGCCAAAGTTTCCCTTACCATGATGAATTTCATAATCTCTAGTTCCTTTTCCTTTGAAGACTGCTAAACAAGGCTGATAAACATATAGTTTGTTGCAGATGGTTGGTGAAGAAAGACAGTCAAACTTCCCAACCTATTGGTTAAAAGACAATGCCATTTTAATTAAAGAAGCCTAATTTATATCAATTAACAGATTTTGAAAGGCAGTAAGAGTTAGGAAATAAAGGTAAAAATATGGAAAACTGATAGCTCTTTCTATAAACAACAGAGATCTTAAGACAGTGATGTTCAAGGAAAACTACTGGCACAACTACATTAGGTCACTTGCTAATTTTTAAATTAAAGGCCAAAATGGGGAATAAAAACTTCTCCCCTCAAAATGTAACAGCAAGGAAACAAGAAGACACCTAAAATAAATGTGACATTAAAATTCTTCTAGTCAAAGCAACAATTTTAAAAAAATACATACTTCATAGAATAATACAATCCATAGCCCTTTAGTACAAAGTTTGAACTTGGTTTCTTTTTAGTAAGAAAATAATCAACATGGTCACAGGATTTTCTGAATAATTAAAATATAGTTCCACATACATACACATTTGATGTTGGAATGTTAATTTGTAATTATTAACTGAATGGGATCTGCAGACTTCCAACAAGAGAGCAGATTTAAAAGATAATCTCTTTCTACTTTTAAATGATTCAAAATGTACAGGAAACTAAAGTGATTCCTTTAAATAAAAAACTTCACTGCAGATCTACCATATGATAGTATATTTCTTTCAGTACCAGAGGTGGCATGTGGTGGTAACAATGAAAATCACGACTTGTTCTTGGACTGTAAACAGCATTTAACATGAGAAGAGCAAGCACTCTTACCTGAATATGCTCATCTTTAAGTAAAAACTTAAGTTTCTTAAATTCCTGCAGGTTTGATTTATCACCCTCCCCAAACTGGAAGAAAAGCAGCCACCGGTGATGAGCCAGACGGTCCTTTAAACCACAGGAAAAAACAAACCAACAAAACCACAAAAAATTAATCCAAACTATACCAACATGTAAAATTCTTCCATGTTTCTGTTTAAAGGCAAATGTCCAGTTATTCATCTCCAAAAGACCTCCATTAAACAAATTTTTTCTTGTAGTCCTTCCACTAAACTTCCTTTTACTGCATCATAATCAAGGAAGTGGAAAAGCCTGAGAGCAAGCTGGCTACAAGCTGCACTCTAATATTGTTGTCTCTATGTGGATTTCCTGTTGTTTTATGCTGCTATGTGCAACTACGAGTGTGGGAAGAGGTTTCCTTTTGTTTTTCCTTCAAGACATGAGTTACTTTTAAGACTCTTAATTTCAGTTCATACATTAATTATCATGGATTAACAAGTATTTTCTTTGTCTTTTCTAAATTACCAAACGAAACACACTTAAACCAAAATTCTCTACAACGTAGTTGATTCAAAAAATAACTAAAAAATTGCAGTTGCAGAGTGAGTTGCAATGGTAATTTCTGTGATTTCCTATATTCCTATGAAATCTCCTCCCTTACTTTTGTTATTTTGTTAAACAGATGTAAATGTAGAATAAATTTGTGTACAGATAAAAATAAGTAATATTCAGTTAAATACTAACTTGTTAAGTCAGCAGGATTTGAAAAACACGGAAAATAACAATAAAAATATAAAAATATATTATCTGAAGAAATCTTAGCATATTTAAAAAAAAAATACCTCTAATGATGCTGCAGAGATGATTTCAAAATCTGGTAGGTGCTGCATTACTTCCTGATAAATTTCTCTGGCATCCAAGGAGTTAAGAAACTAGGATGGAAAGTTCACTGTCTTTATTATAAGGAATTAGAAACATCAACCTGATTAGTACTCAAAGTGTCAGGGAATTTATTCTGATTTTTCCCTTCAACCACATGGAGAATGCAGTTAATATTATTTTATTTGATCAACTTCTTTTTTGTACATGTAATTTCACAAATATCACTCTCAGAATACTGCTTTTTAGTTCACTTACCTACAATATTAAACTCAAGAAATTGCATTTTGTCAAGACAGGGACCAGAGAGTGTGAAACTCAAATTTCACACCAAACCCAGCAATCAAGTTTACAAGATTTCCAATCCAGTTTTAAAGCCTTCCTTAACTGCACTGCAGAGATATTTAGGTTTCCTTAACTTGTAAAATTTTGGATGCAATATGAATCAGTAACTGACATGGTAAGTTAAAACGTTCAATGTAGGTAGGTTGCAATTTATTTTCCTCCTTTTAAAAATACAGGTAACAGTAGTGACAATAAAGGAACAAGTCGTGCTTCAAACAGAAATGTCTCCCATTAATTAGGGAAGTTAAAACTACCATACCAATGTAGGTTGCAATATTAGAATAGAACTGAGCAGTAAAATTTGTACTGACAGACACCGCAGGAGTACTTTTATCACACATGTCAGGGAAGCATTTCTCAAACTTGCGATACCTGCGGCATATTATTTCTGGAATTAAAAATGAGGGACACATAAAAGACCATAGAATCATTTGAGGTGGAAAAGACCTTTATGATCATTGAGGCCAAGCTGTAACCTGCCAAGTTCACTGCTCTAAACCATGTCCCTGAGTGCAATGTTACACACATTTTTTAAATACCCCAGAGGATACTGACTCAACCATGTCCCTCTGAGCAGCTCCAACCCCTCACAACCCTTTTGCTAAAGAAAGTTTTGCTAATATTCAATCTAAACCTCCCTTGTTTGAGATCATTTTCTCTTGTTCTATCAGTTTTTACTTGGGAGAAGAGACTCCCAGGCTTGCCCAGGACAGCTGGCAGCAGCGTTAGAAGTGGCTCTTGGGCCAGTCACAGGGCACTTCCCAGCCCTGAACTCCCAGAGCTGCTCAGGGAGGCTCCTGGGCAGGTGGCCAGGCAGTTACAGGCTGCTGTTCACTCTCCCAGCAAACTGCAATCACCTCCAGGATCGCTGCCTGAGCAGACACAGGGATATAAATTCACAGCAGAGCATACCAGCTTAGAAGAAAAAAACACAAAAAGCATCTTTGTAGTTGTGTATCATCAATCTAGAAGTGATTTATACATTCCTTTAGCATGGTTATTACTTAGTTTATCTAAATAGATAATGAAAAGCAAGTCATACCAAAACACCTCCTTTCTCTTTGTTATTAATGGTGGCTCCAGGTGGAAAGTACGCAGTAGTACTAGATGAGACATCTAAATTATCACAAAGCTCACCCTGGGTGCCACAGTCCATCCAGCCCACATTAACAAGACCTTCCTGTAATTAGGAAAAATACAACACAAAACAAATCCAAAGAAAAGTAATTTTTTTAATTTCAGGTACAGAAATGCTTTTGAAAATCCCAACACAGGCAATTATATATAATACTTAGAAAATGAAAAGAAACAACACTAATTTATTATGTAATATTCATTCTTATTTTATAAAATCCTTAAAAAAATAATGTTATTTCAAAAGCTATTCAAAATATTTAATTCTTCTAAAAGTGACAAATTGGTTCTGATAAACTCAGTGAGAGTTTAGTTACAATTTGATGCTTTCACTTCTGTTATTTTGTTTTAAATATAGCAGGTAATGCTTTCAAAGTGAAACACTGCTTACCAACATGCCAGCTAGCTTAAGGCGGGTTTGGTAACTCAAGCAATCTGCAAAACAAAAATTATTTATTTACAAACATAAAACTTCACCATATTAATGCAGTAAATTTACTCTTGCTTAGAACTGCCCCGATCCTCCCAAAAAACATGGCCATTTCTAATGGCATGCCTCCTACCTGTTCATCCAGTATTCCTGGAACTGTCACATCTAATAATCAGCACTCAATGGCTGTCTACTCTAGGTTAAAAAGCACCTATGAATAACATTCTCTTGCTTCATTAACAGAGAATTCGCTTTTAAAAAAATTTACTATTTTATTTACTGAAAAGACTGACCTTTAATATTTGTTTATTGATGTTAAAAAAAAATTAATCCAAGTATCTACATAGAGTCTTGGAAAGATATTTCAATGGAAATATCCATTTTCTGTGATACAAATAATTCACTACTATAAATACATCATATGCTTTAATTATCCATCCAGATTTTGAATAGTTGCCTTTGGATTTTTTTAAAAAAATAAGATGCATCAACTTCTCCTTAACTGAAACAATGTTGAAAACTGTAACAAAAGGGCTACAACTTGAAATCAAACCATTTACAAATGTAAATCCAAGACTGCAGCTCTGGCTATACAGTTCTCAGAACAAAGGTCTCTTAATAAGGCTGACAAATCTTTATTTGTCAAAGGTGCAGTGCATTTACTTAGCTCAACCAGCTAACCAAGGTAACTTTTTCATATACTGTATCCAGTAGTGATCCCATGAAGCCAGGGACAAAGAGCTACAAAAAACTACTCTGACATGAAACCACTGGTAAGAGCCAATTACTGTGTGCAAACCTAACTTAAAAGAAATCATTCAGCTAAATTTTAATATTGGTGGTTTGAGGGGGAGATAGAGCCTTTCTGCTACTCAGCTATCATGAGAAGCTGGCATGTACCTCAGCAGTATCTGTCACTGGAGCTGGAAACTGAAAGGAAGAGCTAGTTCTGCCATTTCCCCTCCTGATGGGTTACACTCCAGCGCTGCTTTAATGACTCACAGGACATTACTAAAGCATAATAACATAATTTTTCCATTAATGTCCCTTTTGTCAAACTGCTTTTAACAGAAAGCTTAAATGACCCACAGGCCAAATACTGTGGTCACCTAAGATGTTATTTAGTAGCAAAATGCGTTACGTCACTATCAAGAGAAGTCCTTTTTTCTGTCACATTATCTGAAAAGTGTTTCATATACCTACCCCCACGTTCAGCACAGAAGGTGATCAGCCAACCAACACCAGAAGCAAATGAAGTTTCAATAGCATTTACAAAATTTCCTAAGAGTGAAACAATTTGCATCAGTTTATGACTAGTTAAATGTGACCATGAAACAAAGTTTTATATTAGCAAATTACATGAACTATTTTTAGTCTCCAAAAAAGACTTAGTAAAAGTTGGCAGATTCAGTCATATGCATAGTTTCTGCCATATTTATATAGTAAAAACAATTTCAACAGCCCCCCAAGCCAAAGAGGTGAACATTACCTGCCCATAACTCAGTGACTGTGCTTGTAACATACTGCATGGCAAAGTTCTTTAAGCTCTCTTTTGACCTGTCTCCAAAATATTTCACTGGTTGCTACGGAAGATAAAGTTTATAAAATTAAGGAAAAAAAAAAAGGTAAATAACCCCATCCCAAAACCTACTGTGTTCTTCTAACAGTACTTAAGCAACTGCAGGACCAACCCCCACTACCAGCCTAACTGTTCTCTCCCTCCCCTATCAGAATGTTTAAAATTTAATCTTAATTTAAATTTTGTAATGCGATTTCTTTCCAATGCTGCAACATGAGGATAATTAAGTCATAGAAACACCAACTCCCAACGATTGTACTTCTATTTAAATAAAAATTTCTTGCATCACTCCCTTTAGCATTCAACCTCTCAAAACTTATCATTGTAACCATCTATTCAGGTGCACTTTGTACACCACCCCAGCACCACGACTTAGCAAGCAGCTATAAAGAGTAACATACATCATGCAGGTAGCATGGAGGGAATCTTGTGGAAGGAATTTTCAAGTCTCTTTAGGCATATGGTCATACTCTTTAAGACTACAAACCACAGACTATGCTTTGTACTTGAAAAGTCCTTTACAACACTGTAAGAGGAACTGTTCAAGGAGACTTGCTGCTTTGCTACAGCAACTCTGCTGACAGCATCTTCCCAATCAGAAGTGATATATTGCACAGAAAAATTATTCAGAAAAACCACTGTAAAAATATAGTAGCATTTCTTTGGAATTATATATGAATTATATATCTTAACAAATACGTATTTCTGAAGTTAACTTAGTAAATTCATTTAACCAAGATAAAGTTGTATTAATTAAAGAAAGTAACATAATAAAGAGGAAGATTGCTGTAATAAATCGCTACGAACAGCCATTAAAGAAATACTTCTCCAAATTTAATTCTAAAAACACTTCAAGTCTTATCCCTCACCATTCCAGTTTTGAAAATGTACAGACTGGGGTAGCTGTTAATCCCTTTAATTCGACAAAGCATTCTGTTATCTCCACAGTTCACAGCTCCAATGCGTATTACTCCATCCAGCTCCTTAGCAAATTCTCTCCACTAAAAAAAAAAAAGGCAAAAAAGAGGCTATTTTCCTATAGATATAATGAAAAATGAGCATGTGTTTTATTCCCAGTATTTTGAATTTTTGTCTTTGGTTTCAGCTTCAGTGTAAAAATCCACTTCATTAAGTTTTATGTTATTAAAACCAATGAATTTTCAGAGTTAATTTACTTGGTTTACGTACCGTGGGTGCTAAATCATGGCAGTGAGAGCATCGAGGAGAATAAAAATTCACAAACCACAGTTCTCCTGAGTTAACAGCAGCATCTAGATGGAGAAAAGAAAATTATAAGTAAATCGTGCACATCTGCAATGTAGTTATATCTAGAATGTACATTTTTGCTATATTGTATTCCCCAAAAGCTGTATTAAGTATTTAATGTTGGGCACAGTAACAGTAACTCAGATGAGATTAAAGATTGTATCTCATACAATCATAGGCACAAAAGTCATATTTCAGAAGCTATCAGCACCCTGAATTTCAGCATCTGTTCTATTAATTAAGGAAAAAAATACTGTCTACAGATTATTCTAGCTGAAATGTGTGACAGTGTAAGTCTGGTTACAAGATACAAGTTCTAAAATATTTTTACCTACTTGAATTTTCCATTTCCTTATATTACTTTATGTATTTAGCGAGTTGCACCAGGCAATCTCTTTATGAAGAAATCATGTCTAATGTAATTAAAAATCCAAGTTAATATAATTACTAGAAAAGTCAAGGGAAATATAAGTAATTTTGCTTATGAAAGAAAACAACATCAACAAAATATACACGAAGAGCAGTTATCAGCTTGAATTACTTGGCTTTCAGCCTGTCCAATTTTCTTGTAGTGAGTTTTGTAAATTTTATTTGCCTATATTAAAATATCCTCACAAAAAAGACAACAAGGAATGTGTAGACCCCACAAATAGATTAACCAAAGCAAGACTGTGGTCTTGAAGAACATCATGAGGGTTTGCTATTAGAACAGTTTACAAGACTAATTCAGCATGTAGGTCCAATCTTGCACACAGGAAACTGTACTCAGTATGCAGATGACAAATCACACAAAATCCACTATTTTTGCCTCTAGTCTCTCTTTGTTACAAACAACTTAGTTGTAATTTTAAAAGAAAAAAAAACTGGACAATATTCTCATTGAAACTGTTATCCTTCCACACCTTGTTCTCCTTTGCTGTGTTTTTAGTATCTGGTATCACCTTCTGCTTTTGAACTACACAGAACTGAATGGATTTCACAGAAAAAAAAAATTAGAGAAGTTTTATCAAGAGCATTTTTTTACAAGAGAAACAGCAACAATAAATTAGGAGTAACAAAATTTTAATTCAAATAATTTCCTTTTACAGATCTCACAGATTAAAACTTCATGTAAGCTGTTTATTGATATTGTTTGATATGCTAACCAGTATCTAACGGGAATCATTAAGGGGTACTTTTTTTTTTTGTTTTCTCATGTGAAGACGATTTTCCAACAAGTGTTTGCAAAGATAGATAAGAAAAGCCTACTGAGACACAGCTCAATATGTAAAAATTGTACTTTGGGTTGTCATGTTGTCAAGCAGCCATTTATTTAAAAAACTTACCAAATTCTCCTCTATCCAATGTTATAATTTCAGGATCATCATCATAAATACCTTTTAAAAAATAAAAACAACAATTGCTTTTTATTTTTCCAGCTTTAAAGCAAAGAAAAAAACTATCACCTTATGCACAAGAGAAGACAGTAGATTTAAGTTGAAATACTAAGGTGGCAAAGAGGTTTTACAAAAATGCTATCCTTGTCCATTAGCACTGGACCCTGAGTCTAACCTCTTGCTAGCTCACTCATTCTCAAGCTACAAAAACCACTATCAGAATGTTATTTTGATAATTTAATAACCAACCATGGAGCGAGAAGAGAATTAGAACTACTGCTGTTATGGCAAGAGCATTAGAAATAACATCATCGAGCTGTCAGATTAAAATTCAAGAAGCCTCAGCTGTCACTGAGAGCTTTATGTAATGTCCAGAAGCTTCCAGGAAAGAAAACTTTTTTCCAGAAGCTTTCTCGGCCTCTGGTTACCTAAACATTTAGATAACAAAACTGTTTCCAGCCACAAGGTTTTCCACTGGTAAAATGTGTGTGTGAATCCAGTGGAATGAAGTGGGTAGAACAAAGGTAAGGAAGACAAAGCTAACCAGTCCTACCAAGAGCATCACTACAAAACACTTCACTACTTCAACTACACAAGAAAGGCAGTGCAGAGTATCAAAAATACTATTAAAGAGCATTATATTATGCTGCTATGGTTGCAGATCTTTTACAGTACCTAGCATGGTGAGATGTCATTTCACCTGAAGTACACAAGGATCAAATGCAAATAAATAATGAGAGAAATTAATTTCTACAGGAGACAAGGTACTTTTTATATTACTTTCACTTATATCTCATGTAATATAGTACATATGCTCACCCATACATATAAATATATATAAAGCTGTACTTATATATGCTCACAGACATATAAAATATAAAAATTGATGCTCCCTAAACAACTGAATAATAGACACTAAATGATACTGTTTCTTAATCAAGCAGTGAAACTTCAGTCAGATAAAATTTCTTAGATCTGTTTATATGAAGAAGTTTTAGGCCAATTTCCATACTTTCCTGTGATAGTTGCACCATTGGTTTATTCAATTGCAATCTGCACAGACATCGATTTCTTAGAGACTGGGACAAACAACATTAGAAAAAAATTGTTGCCAAGGTGGAGGTTCTAGTTCTTTCTTTCATCCCAATCAAACTATGTTCCTCAGTTCCCTGTTTTAGTTTACTCCTATTACAGCAGCTCCGAGAATCATCTATTGCACATCAAATAGGCTTGACAGTGCAAAAATTTCCTCTTAAAATCCCCCTGAAGAATACTAAACAAAGAAGGTCTTCCTGCATTAAAGAGTTAAAAAGAATCCTGATGAAATATTAACACTGACATTTAGGTGAAAAAAAAGCCTTGCACTTTAAAAAAAATAAACAAGAAGTTAGATGACCTATAAAAAGGCAAGCAGCAGGAACAAAAGGCTAGGTAAACAGATTGCATCTTTGGGTAGCCATTAACAGGGTAAATCAAATATTGGGCCAGCAAAACTACAGAGCAGACAAATCTGGAGAGGACACATAAGAAACATGTGAAAGGCTCTGAAATAGATCTGAATATTGCATTTCCTTGTAACTGTTTGAAGTAAACCACAAGCATACATCATAACTTACCAAAATCATAGCGATAGAAGTGCCAGCTTTCGTAACGACCTCCTTGCTGCTGATCTTCAAGACCCTTCTCTCCATATTTATCATATTTCTTCCTTAGGTCTTCATCTTTAAGTACTTCATATGCTCTATTTATTTTCAAAAAATTTTCATGTGCATTTGGATCATTCTATGTAAGGGAAACCATAGTTAGTAATTAGATAATAAACATATTGTGCATATAATGCTGAGAAAATTATCTTCGGAAATATTTTCATATTCCTGCTAAGGATACCAGTTGTAATGGAAGCACACATTGCACTGTCATCTCAAACCGAACTACAGTCAAGTTTTTCTTTCCCAAAGCCAGATGTGTCCTCTTATTTCTTCCATCCCCACTAAACTACCAACTTAAATGCAAAGTGAACTGGTAGGAGGCTGTAACATTCTCCAGTGAACCCTCTTTTTTCAACTCTCTCTTCAGTGGAATTAAAAAAAAAATATACTCAAGAAGGAATTACACCATCTCCTTCATAATCCTTTCCACTCCCCAAGAATCCCTACTTGACCAGTTCAAAATCTGTGCTATAGAGACAGATTCAACCCTTCTGGTCTTGACAGTGTAGACAGATGCCTTCTCCTTTTATTTAAGATGCATCTTTGTTCTAGGTAGCTTGGGAATGAGACTGGTGAAAAAATCTGCAGACGTATTTTGAACCCAAATTGGGGATCTGCACAGGTGCAGTGTAACAGTGGTGTGCGAAATGTGCCACACAGTCCTGCTCTTTAAACTTCTGCTTACACATTTCATTCAAAAAACACTTTTTCTTAAGATTTTTTTTTTTTAGCTAGATACACAGGAAATCAATTACCATTATGGAATCTGTCTAATGGGTTCATCGATATATCAACACTAAGGCTGAAAATAAGCTGTTGAAAAACCTTCCGTAATACACGGATGCATGGAAATGACAGAATCTGCCCACAAATGCCATTATTTTGGAAGTCTCAACAGAGAAAACAGAACTTTCATTTAATAGCTGCAAGTTGGCATTCCCAGCTTTGCTGACATTTGGCTTTCTCTCTGAGCTCTGTCAGAGGCTCATGCGAAACAACTGCTGCTCTTTGGGGCTCCATGCAGTTGTATGTACAGAGATCTAAACCCATTTATTTCCTGTGAATTTCTGCTTAATTCAAGTAATTTCAAGGAAAAACTGATGTTTAAAAGTGATTTCTTTGTATTTCAGAAATATGGTAGCACTGACTGAGCCATTCCAATCTTCTCTCTCCAGTAAGTCCAGAGCTCTTTGTAACCTCCACCGTTATACCCTGGCAGTCCCAAGATGACTGTTTTGTCCTATTTGATACTTGGAGACTGATGTCTCAAGAGGGGCTGCTCTTATTTGATGTTTAGAGGAGACCACAGGGTAGGGAAACAGCAAGTCCCCCTAAACTAAATGGAAAGGGGATAACTCAACAGCTTACCAACAAGGTAATATGGCACACAACTAAGTTCTCCTCTAGATACAACAATAAAAGTGAGAATTAAAGAATCCTGAATCTTTTTACTACAACAATTAAATCAGCCCCAATTCAACAAAACCATATGTGACCACTTCTCATAAATTTTCTCCGCAGAAAATTCAATTAACAGCTGGTTATTTCACAGTAACAGAGACACATTTTTGATAAATTAATATTGCTTTTTGTTTAAAGACTGTTCCATTAAGTCAACAACTTTGACTTGTTAAAAAGGTAACTTACCTGATTTTTATCAGGATGCAACTTTAATGCCAGCTTTTTGAATGCTTGTCGGATTTCTCTACTACTTGCTTCTTTGGATACTCCAAGCAAACTATAGTAGTCCTGATCAGTGCACACAAGAACTATTACACATACTAAAACGAGCAATAAAGACCTTTTGAAATACCTAACATAATATCCTTTGGATGCTAAAAACTCCATTATGAAGCTTTTGGAAACTTCAGACTTTGGGAAAGAAACAGACTTTGGGAAGAGTCTCCAGTGCCAACATTCAGAGACACAGCTGTATTTATGGCAGAGCTCTTCAAAATGCCTGTTGTTCTACTTCATGTCACGAATCTTTCTAAAATGACACCCTGTAAAATGACAGAGGAAAAAACAATTAAATACTACTTAATAAACACACGTTAGTAACGCACCCCACCACCGCCTTGTGCGGCCTGCACATGAACATTTAAGTTTCTTAGGTGGTCAATTACCTTCTTTCCGAAGACCACACAAGTGGTAGACCATCTCTTAATTGTCACCTTAACTGAGGTAATCATGCACAACTTCACTGAGTGACGCTAAAAGCCACACACCTATATCGCATGAAGAAAGGCGGGTGTAGGAGGGCTCATACGTACCTTCAGTAGCGCCGGGGGTCATTCCGCGGCGAGGGCCGGTGGCTGGGAGCCGGCTGCCAAGGAGGCGGCGGACACCCCTCGCAGACAAAGCCGGGCAGGCGAGCCCCACGCAGGTAGGAGCCCGGGGGCCGGGGCCGGGCTGCGGCGGGAGGGCTTGGGGGGGCCCGGGGCGGGGCTGTGTTCTGCCCTGCCCTGCTCTGCCCTGCCCTGCTCTGCCCGCAGCGCGGAGCGGGGCCGGCCCCGGGCAGAGGCGCTGAGGGGCTGCGGAGCCGGCGGTGCAGCGGGCCGGGCGCGGGGCAGGCCGGGACAACAGCGCCTTTCTCCCGGCGCCAGCGGAAGGGCGGCGGGATCCGGGATCCGGCTCTGGGCCGGAGGCGGGCGGGGCGGCTCCGGGACTGACGTGGCCGCCGTGCCCGCCTCGGGCGGGGTCTCGGCTCCGCCCGACCGCTCCCCGCCGGGGCACGCCGCTCCGCCCCGGCCCGGCCCGGTCCGACTCAGCCCGGCCTGCCCCCGGCCCGCCCCTGGCTCGGCCGGGCCCGCCCCCGGCTGCCGCCGCCCGCTGCGGGCCCCGCGGAGCCCCGGTGGGTCGGGATGCGAGAGGTGCCGGCGGTGGAGCCGAGGAGGAGAACCTGGCACGGCTCATGTCCAGGCGCGGACCCCAGGCGGCTCTAGAGAGTTGAAGGCCGCGGTGGGGTGTTTTGGAGGACTTCCTTTAAAAGTTCACGTAGGGCTAAGAAGTAATAAGCGCTTCATAACCACTTTCACTGTTTGTGGAGACAAAACACTCGTTGTTTTATGAGCAGGGCCAAAAAACCAGGTTATCAAATACAAGTACATTGCAAGAAGTCTTTGCAAGTATTTTCTGTTTCAAAGATAATTTGGGATTATATTGCAATGCCTATAATTGAGTTTTCTTACAGTTTGACCCTCTGTGCAGTTGCTTTGTTTGAAATTATGCCCAAAAGTCTTTTGGTTCGCTCCCTTGGTCTCGTTTATGTAGATGGCGCCAATCCTAAGTTCTTACTGCTTCTGACAATGTCAAAGTAGCAGAAGTTCCTGAGGCTCATTGTTGAAAGGGAGTTCTTTTTGTACTTGCTCTTTAATTTCAGCTACCTGAATAAATTGGCACTGTAAAATATTTCTTGGATAAAAACTACTGAATCAACAAAGATATACTCCAGTATAGCGTACCTGAGAAATTAGTTTATAATGTTCATGTTGTTACAGAAACCACATCTGTCAAACTAATGGTGAAAAACATATCTCCTGAAACATTTATATTTCCTCCCAGTGGCTATGTGACAAAGTACCTTAGTGGGTGGTGCCTTTGCTATTAATATTAAGTTTCAGAATTTAAATGAGTGCACACAGAAGCGCTGACTCTTTGTTGCAACATTTATTTCTTTACATATGTTTTCAGTGACTTGAGGTCCTTGTGATGGATGGGGTGAGGTTAATGTATTGCAATGTTCAAAAGCTCATTTAGCAGATGATGATACATAAAATCAGCACATTACAACAGATTGGTATATAATATAAATATAAATCAACAAAAGGCACGTGAAATATGTTGGTCTGAAGGAAGTTTCATGTAACTGTCAAGTGTTTCCAGGTAAGCAAAATCAGTTCTCTCTCAGAACTCATATGCAGCAATGAGCTATATATATGGAATGGGTAAAAGCTCTCCTGTTTAGCTAGAGGAATACAAGAATAGGCATTTCTGGATCTTCAGTTGTGATTAAAACTTAAATAATAACAACCTTTAATTTAAATTAATATTATGTATTTGCAAGCAGTGCATGTCAGTAATTATTCACTCAAATGCTTGCTTGATTTCCTAATGGTAGTGAGTTTCATGAGTTACTCTGCAGTTTGTTTTGTCAGTGTCTTTGAATTCCTGATTTGAGCATTAAAAGAGATGGTGAGCAAATTCTTTTATATAGTCTTGAAGATTCTGATCATTTTAACACCTAACTAACCTAGTTTTATCATGTTGCCATAATTTTTTTTTTTCAAGTTGATGTTCTGATTTAATAAAATGCTTCTGGTTTTTGTTGTTTCTTTGTGGTGGTTTTTTGGTTTTCTGTTTTTTATTGTTGTTGTTGTGGCCTTTTGTGGTTTTTGTTTGGTTTTGCAACTGCTGTTTTTTATCAAATTATGTGTCTGCATTTTAGATAGGTTGCTGCTCTTTGCACATGGTGCTGGTTGTATATAAAGGACTGTGTTGTGACATAGCTGCATTTCATCAGTTAAGGAATATGCATGAATGTTTTGGTTTTCTCCCCTGCCCAGTGGTGTGGACTTGGGTCATGGGGAGCAGGAGAGACTTGAAGGTTTTGTGGAGTTCTGAGCTGCAGCGTGGTGAATAAATGGCCAGGAAGAACCAGGAAAAGCTGGTATAGCTTAAAATGTGCAGTATGCCCTAGTGCCAGAGCCTTTGGTCCTCATGGAGGGTGTAGTGACTCGTGTCCCTAATGACTTCATGACTCACAAGTCACCTAACTCACCTTCACTTTGTGGTAGGCATTTGTCACCTGCTTATGTAAGGACCCTGCCGGGGTGTAAGTAAGCAGGGCCATTTGTGTACTCAGTGGTGCCTTTTCTCACCTATTTGATCTATAAACCCAGAGAACAGACTGATGTTCTTTCTAGCCTAAGGTTCTCTTTGGTAGTCACACAGTTAAATAACCCCCTGGCTCAGTGACTATATTGTTGTTTTGTCTATTTCTGCCTTATACTGTTTTTTTTTGAATCAGCTCTAGAAAGTCATTCCAGGAACTATACATAATAATCGTGAAACCCTTCCTTTTGCTGGAATTATCGCATCAAATAAGTACTTGATAAGGATTTTGAGAACTTTTCCTACTATGCTCAGTTTTTTCTTTTCATCCCTCTTTCTTTCTGCCAACTGTCTGATGGTGGCTTTGTGGATCTCTGTAACCTGATTTTATTTTCCTCTGGGGAACCTGGGGACAGCATACTTTTTTGTCTTTTATGAAATGCTTTTGTAGTTCATTAAGCCTTCTTCATTATCTCAAGTTTCTCACTCATCAGTAGTCATGTCTAGCTTTTACAGCAGCATCCAAACCTGTATCTTGTTTGGTCTTGGTTTTAATATTTCATTCCATAAAATGTTTCATTTTATTTATCCTGTTTTTGTAAAGGGGATAAAAGGAAAAATCTAAAATCTTCTAAATTAGGACTATTTAAAATAAAGGAAACTAGTAGAATTATGGAAAAAGTTAGTATGATCATCAAGAAGAAATAGGAAAGAAGTGGACAGTTAGACCTTTCAAATGTATTAGAAGATAGAAGTCAGGTCAGTAAGTTATTAGATATTAATATTTTAATAAATGATCTGATTAATATGGCACATATGTAAAACTACTTTGTAATTTAAATTTAGAAAGCCAGTTGGAAAGGATGCCATAAAATACCATTTTACAGAATATATAAAATGTTTAATTAAGCAGTAAAGCTATATAAACCATCTGCTTCTGTTGAAATAGTCAAGATGTTAGAGAGGCATTTCTTGTAATTTAAAACATCTATGCATTTTTGATTGCTTTAAAATTAGCATTCAGCTTTCATAAGCAGTTGCTTATTTTTTTTTCCTGCAGTGAAATATGCAGTAACTGTTAATGAAGAGGACTTTGAACAGAAATTCTGTTCATTTAGCACATTTTGAACTTTAACATATCAATTTTTGTCATTGAAGTTTAAAGATCAAAAGCAAGACTGCTGCAGTTTGATGGTTTCTGTACATTGCATGGTGGGTAATTTAGGAGGAACTGGGTTTTATTGTATTCCATTCATCAGCTAGGCCTTTTCCTGCAAAGTATTTCATTGATGCTGAGTAGCTGAAAGTGTCAAGGGATACAGTTCTTTCAGGCCAGGTGCTGCAAACCAACTCCTCTTGCAGGCTGCTGAAGAACTGACATGAACTCATAGATCCATGTAACTTGTGTCTCCTGGCAGGAGAAGGGGTGTGAGCAGAAGGGATCTGTCTCTTCAGTCATTCCCAGTGGCAAAATTCCTGGGGAATCCCTGCACAAATGAAAGCCACCTGCCAAATCCAAGCTAAAACTGAAATATTCAAAGGAACTCAGAAGGAATTCCGTATCCTTGTTAGCAGGTTTTCAAATGGAGTATGGTGAATTGAACAAGCAGAGCTGTATTTGTCTGTAACTTCCAGGTTTATTTGGAGATTCTCTGATGCAGTTGGAAAGCTGTTTGCTGGGTGGTTTCTGCCAGTTTTGAAAAGATGAGGAGATAAAATGAGGTATGGCTGTGGGGGTAGAAGTTTCCTGTAATGTATGCTTCACAGTCTAAGGGTTTCTTTACAGACCTTGAACACAAAAATGTGCTTTCTCTCTGACTTGGTCTGCCAGTTGTTGATTTTTGAATTCCTGGCTATGATGTTATAAAGTGTTTTTTCCCTTGAACATTCCAGGGGCTTGGACCTCACTCTGTTTTCTATTAGCTTCACAGAAATCTTTGTAACTGTTTTGATGTGCAGTTTTATATATACAGACACTGTTATAAGAACACAAAGTGTTAACACCTGTGCTTTTGTAATCTAAATAGGACAAATAAACTGTGAGATATAATATTTTGCAGGATTTTCAGACAACTTAGGTGAAGGCTTTCAGAGATGACTATAATCAGCTAAAAGGGTAAAAATGTTGACAGATTTGACTCCAAAACCTTGTCTTACCTTCCTCTGTAACGGCATAAGAGCTTTTCCTAATTCAGTTATAATTTAAGGACAGGGTGACTAATTTGTATGCAAAGCATCTGTAAACTGGGTCTTAAAAAGCTCCCCATCTGCAGAGAGACCTCACATTGAGGGGCATGCAAACCATAGCAGTGTAGCAGCTGGTGGAGCTATCTGAGTATCGAAGTATTGAAGGAGTTTTTATTAAAGAAAATAGAAAAAAAACCCCGAGACTACAGCTTTCCAAAAATTCTAAATCAAAGCAGAAACCTTGAAAAATGATGATAGATGTGCCACTTTTGAAAAGAGTGGCAGTCATCTGTCAATGTACAAATAATGGCAAATATTCTTAATATTCACAGTATTTAGTCAACATGATACAAGATGACCTTTCTGCTTATCATTTATCATTTAAACTTCTCTTTGGGGGTTTCAGA